GAAGACAGAACTTCAATTGAAAAAATGCCTGTGGGCAAGTGAGTGAAGAATTTTCTTGATTACTGGCTGATGTGGGAGGGCCCAGCCTACCTAGCCAGATAGTTCTGAGATATATTTAAAAAAAAATAAAAAGTAAGCTGAACAAGCCATGGAGAACAAGCCACTGAGCAGTGTTCCTCCATTGCCTATGTTTCAGTCCCTGCCTCCAAGTTCCTGTCTTGAGTTCTTCAACTGACATCCCTTCATGATGGACTATAAGATGAAATTAACCCTTTCCTCTTCAAGTTGCTTTTGGCCATGGCCTTTTTCACAGCAATTGAAAACAGAGGAGGACACTATCTAAATGTGTACCTACCAGTGGAATAGGTGAATCATAGGCAGTTCAATTCTTATTTTTTGGGAAAGCAAATTCTACACTATTTTGCTTAATAGATGTACCTACCAATTTATACCCCTTAGTGTTCTTCATTCTCTTTATCTTTGGCAACACTTAAAGACATTCTATAATACTGAGTGTAACAAGGGTAAGGAGATTTCTCATGGTGGTTTGGGTTTGTAGTCTCTGAACATAATTGCCCATTTGTTCACCGGCATCCTGTCCATTTTTTCATCTTCTTTTTGAGAAGTGTCTGTGCAAGTCCTCCCATTATTAAGGGAACTTGATTTCTTCCTGCTGCCTTGTGTGCCTTCTTAAAATCTTTGGTATGGTTTGCGAATGATTTCTGCCATTTTTGTAGCTTTATAGTTTTGGATCTTGTGACTGACACTGCTTCAGTCTACACACACACACACACACACACACACACACACACACACACGTTGAAATTTATGAGCTCCTTGTACTTATGGCTTCAGTCTTTTATTCATTTTGAGATCACTTTTGTCAGTCTTTTGAGAAAAGAGTCCAATTTCATTCTTCCAAATATGGACAACCAGTGCTCCCATCACTATTGAAGAGACCATCTTTTCTTCACTAGGTGTCTTGGAAATTTTGTCAAAGCTATATTGACAATATATACATAGGTTTACTTCTGGTCTCGCCAGTTTTCCAATTTTCATATCAGTGCTGTTACTTTTGTCACTATAGATTTACAATGTATTTTGAGATCATGCGGTATGATACCTCCAGTTTTGTAACTCTTTCCAGGTTGGTTGCTTTGACTATTTAGAAACTGTTCAACTGCCATACAAATATCAAGAGTGACTTTTCATCAATCTCATTATCAGGGGAGGGCATTTAAGGTAGCTTCTCCTCTATTGCTTAGATTGTTAGTTGGTGTCATCTTTGTAAATCTCCAGACATTTCCCTAGTGCCTGATTTATCTTTAAATCTAAAAGGTCTCCCTCTATTATGGCATCTCTTATATTGTTTTCTTCTATTCTTCCACCGACTCAACCTTTCTGTTCCCTCATGTTCTCCTCACCCCTCCTCTTCTCCCCTTCTCATTCTGGTGGAAGTAGAAGCAGACACCCACAGCTAATCACTGAACTGAATTGGATTCCAGTTGCAGAGAAGGACAAGCAAAGGGGTCCAGACCAGGCTGGTGAAACCCACAGAAACAGCTGACCTGAACAACTAGGACCTCTTGCTCCCCAGACTGATAGCTGGGAAACCAGCACAAAACTGATCCAGACCCCAGGAACGTGGGTGTCAGTGAGGAGACCTCGGAAATCCATGGGGCCTCCTATAGTAGATTATTACTTATCCCTAGCATAAGTGTGGACTTTGGGAGCCCATTCCACACAGAAGTATACTCCCTGAGCCAAGACCCATGGGGGTGGGCCTAGGCCCCATCCCAAAGGATATGACAGACTCTGAGGAGCCCCCCCATGGAAGGCCTCACCCTCCCTGGGGAGCAGAAAGGGTATGTGATAGGTAGGGTTTTAGTTGGGGTGGGGACAGTAGGGGAGGAGGAGAGGGAGAGGGAATTGGGATTGACATGTAAAACAATCTTGTTTCTAATTCAAATTAAAAAAAATGAAAAAAGAGTGACTTTTCTATTGATCTGAATCATGGTTTTTGAATTATTATATACATTTCACTGAATCCATAAGTCATTTTGGTACCATGGGCACTTTAAAAATATTGATTCTCCCAATTTATGAATACATACTATTTCTTTCCACGTCCTATAATAGCCTTCAAATAATTTCATAGATGTCTTATAGTTTCAATGTATATATTTCATCTCTGTGGTTAAATTAAACTCAAGTATTTTCTTTGATGACATTGTAAGTAAGACTGTGCTCTTATATTAAGAATATTCACATGTTGGTTTTGTATCCTGAAATCTTACTATCTCCTTTTTAAAAAATGTTCCCTATATGGAAACAGCCAAAATATATCCCTGGCCACATTTTTGTAACACACACTAATCTCAGCTATGGAGGAAGCTGGAAATGTAACCATGCCCCAAGTTTATACTGAAAAATCAATATTATATTAGTGAAGAAGCAAAATAAGGTGGAATCGAGACATGCAAAGCAGTGTCAGTCACAGATCCTTACAGAGTAAGTTAAATGATGTTCTTTAATGAATATTGAGACCATTTGACGCCATATTTGCTTTGTTTACTTTGTGATCCTCTCAGTTTACCTTGTGGTACAGAACTTCATGATTATCTTCCTTCATACCTTCCAATACCATGTGACAAAGAAGATATTATAACACAAGAGTGCAAATTTTTCTCGATACCCAAAGAAGTAAAAGAGTGTTGTTTCTGCATCAATACAGCACAGCATACTCCTGTCTGGAAGAAAGAATGGACTGAGAAAGGACAGCTACACTACTGCTCTTGGCCAGATATGTCCCACAGACTACTTTATGCATTTCCTGAGCTCAGAATAGCTGTTCTATTTTGAATGTGGTTTAAAAATTAAGAATACAGAAGAGAAATTATATGTACCCTACCAATTTTGTAGAAACTATTTGGTGACTCCTGACATAGATGAAAATTTGTAAATTTCTCTCTTTTGTAAAAGACTTTAATTTTATTTTTAATTATGTGTATGAGTGTATGCCTATGAGTGGGCATGTGTAGGTGAGTACAAATTACTGAGGAGGCCAATGCTGTTGGATTTCCCCGGAACTGGAGTTACAGGTTGTTATGAAACATCTGATGTGGATGCCAGGAACTGAACCAAGATCCTCTGCAAAATAGTACACACTCTTAACCACTGAGCCACCTCTTTAGATCCCCCCCCCTCTCTCTCTCTCTCTCTCTCTCTCCTATCTTATATGTTACTTAAAGGTCTAATTGTGGTATCTCAGAGTTGCTGACTGGAATCACCACTGTTCTTTGAAACTGTACCTGTGGGAACCCCTGCCTCCACCATCTCCCGTCTGGACCCCTAGTGTGCTATCTACTCCACAGAGGAGCTGATTCCAGACTTGCTACAGCTCTCTTCAAACTCAAGTGCTAAATTTCCAAGTTTAAACTAAATTATGATTTTGAATGAGTAGTTTGCATAGTAATGCTCCCCTGTCATTAGCATTTAAGGAGAGCTTGGGAATGAGTACCCAAGCAAACACATGTACTAGAGGCCCAGAAAATTGTCTCTTCTGTTTTGTGACTAGGTAAATCCAGTGTATTTCAATTAAACAGAGAAAGCAAACTTTCCTGTCTTGACTCAACTCTATAGTCAGAAGAAATCACCAGAGCTATTTGATTTGTGAAATAAAATGCAACACAGTCACCTACAAGTTGATTACTTAAATACCATGAAAAGACTGTAAATTTATTTTAATATGGTCCTTTAATTTCAAAAAAATCTCAGTAAGTGTCTTTGTCTTACATGGTAAGTCCCTGGTGCTCTTAGTTCCTGACACACTGAAGAAGTTGTACAAGCAGACACTATGTTGTGTGTTGATCTTCCTCCTTTCATCACAAGGTAACATGTCATTTTGGCTGTCCTGTCACCTTCTGTTAGGGTAGAGGTGTCAATACTCCTATGAAAAAACTTAAAGCATTCTGAATCTTTCATGTAAATTTTATTTTATTTTTTTTACTAAATTCTACTATTTGTACATATGTTGAGAATCTCAGGAAAATATTTTCAGAAATTGAAGCCTATAACATTGTATCATTTCTAATGGTCGGGTATAGACTCATTAATGAAATAAGGATTGACACGGAGTTGCCAAGTGCAAGCATTGAGGTTCTTTTCTTTGGCTAGATTTCTTTTCCTGTAATTTATTGCATTGCTACAAACTTGGTAGATTTTGTAATGAAAAGAAGTAATACATTCCCAGTCAAAATGTAGATACCCAAATCTACCCTGTAAACACTCAGGATAAAGTAAGACATTCCAAATAGGCAAAGGAAGAAAATGTCAGTAAACAAACCCAAAAAGCTTTTTGAAGGACTTCAGTATTTTGAAGTTCCAGTGAGAAAATAAAAGTAAAAAGCAAATAATAGATGAGAAATATCACAATATTCTGAGTCACACTACCCTTTAAGCACATTAGTCCCTTGGTGGTCATTGAGAATCATAGAAGTAAGTTTTGTTTCCAAAGCCAGGTGCAGCTGTCGTCAGTTAAAACAGCAGAGACATGAGCTGGGACTAAGGCTCACCAGTAGAGTACCTGTCTGCCTGTGGAAAGCCCTGGACTCAATCTTCTGCCCCACAAAACCAAAACAGGGAGGCAAACATTACATTTCCCGTTTGTGGAGCAATTTTTCCACAGCTTTTCTGCAAACATGGCTATACAAATGGGTGTATCATTGGTTCTCACTTTATCATCTAAAATTTCTGTTAAAGTGACAAGAAATTCTTTCCATTGGATTCTGATGTAGCATTTTTATCTTAAAGCTAGTCACTCTGTTTCTGTTTACAACACGTGAAATAACTCTAATCAGAACAAAGGTCCCAGCATTGTTCAAACTGAAGGCTTACACTGCTGAACAGATAGCAGAGGCTAGAGTCCACTTGCATTATTGCAGCGGTCAGGCTCAGGTGCAATCTGCCTTCCTAATACTTTTAACATTGACTTGTCATAGCAGGTAGCTGGTAGGATTTATCTTCAAAGACCAGAAACATGCACTGTGCCATGCTAAAGGCCGAAGCGGTGGATGGCGCTCATCTAATGCAGATCTTTTGGCACGATGGAACAGAGTCCCTCTACCCGGCGGTATGGCTGAGAGACAACTGCCAATGTTCTGAATGCTACCTGCATTCTGCAAAAGCTCGGAAACTTCTCCTGGAAGCTCTCGATGTGAACATTCGAATCAAAGACTTGTCATTTGACCGGAAGAAGGTAATTATCTCTAGCAATATTTCCCTTCTGTTTTGAGTTAAATCAAGACTTCCTTGATAATAATGAAATCAATCTTCTTTAACTTACCAGATATATAACAAACCATCTTTGTGGACATGTTTGTAGCATGTTTGGTACAGAGCAGGCATACTGAGTGGAAGATTCTGCAGTTGCTATCACGGCTTCAGTGTTTTCATTTTCCTCTTTCTTTTTAATATGCAGAGTGTTTATTCCAACTGAAATGTAATTATATCACCAGTGTTGTCCCTTTTCCTTCCTCCAACCCCTCCCATATGCCCCTCTCTCTCTCTCAACCTGGTGGCCTATTTTTCTTTAGTATTGTTACATTTGCATATGTACATAGAAATATAGAAAAACAGCCTTTCGATATATTCTGGTTTCTCTTCAGCTTCTTTTATTTACAAATTTTTTGCCTTTTGCTACTATAAAATATACAAATTTGCCTTTTTGCTTTTAGTGGCTAGCAGCCTTGAAGTACAATCATACAGTTTATATAGTAAAAGTAGTGCTTAGTTTACTCCTCCATCAAGCTCCAAAGTACAGAAGTTGTTCACACAAATGTCAGAATTCAGTAAGAAAATCTGGGTGAAAATGTTTCTCATAGTCCTTAGCATAGAGTACTCTCAGAAACTATGCTGATTAGTGCTATTTATCCAAACTAGTATGCTGGTCTATATGAAATCATATCCTAAGAGCCTCACTCTCAAAATCAACCATATTTGGCATCTATCATCTTTCTTGCTTCCTTATTTCCAGATTCTCACCAGAATAACAAATATGATCAGAAATCCTGTCTTTTCACAGTTATTCTGTCCTTCTCTCAGCTTGAATTCTCTATTCCCAATTCTCAGTCTTGGTAGTCATGCCCTTTCACAGGAAGTTTGAGGATCACATATTAGAGTATGTAAAGCAGAAATGTCAGGTTAGCAAAATTCTATTTCTTACACATCATCTCATCTGCTTTAGGCACCAAAAGTAGACCTTTGGGGGAAAGGGAGAGTAATGTTTAATTGAATTATCTGATCATTTTAAATAACATTCAAAAGAAAAGCAACTGCAGAAGGCAGAAGTGTATAATTGTGCAATGTACAAATAGATGATAATTGCTTTCTGTCTTATAAGGTTTATATCACTTGGCCCAATGAGCATTACAGTGAATTCGAAGCTAATTGGCTGAAGAAAAGATGCTTTTCTCAACAGGCAAGAGCAAGACTCCAAGGAGTATTGTTTTTACCAGGTAACATTGCCATCATCTTCTGTATACAGTAAAATCTTATAGAAAAAATTACATGAGAAATGCTATTATTTGAATTGAGTGTATCTACAGGACACTATTTAATGATCTTATTATATACACATATATTATGAAATGATCAAACCAATGTAATCAGTATTCATATCTCCCTCACTTTCTAATGATTTGGGCAGGAGAAATTTAAACCCCTATATCTTGGTTAAAATAATATTGTAATTTATAAGGAATGCTTAACATGTTAGTAGCACAGATCATTTTAGGCAAAACTGAAAAGAAGATCAGAGTAGATGTCAACACTCTAAAGAACTAGCAAGAAAAAAGATAGTGGGCTTGAGTCTTTCTCCTCTGAAGTTAAGCTGTAGCTCAAGAAGTTCCCTCCATGCTCTCTACAAAGAAGCAGAGTAAAACCAGAGAAAGTTCGTCCTTCTTAACAACATCTGAAGTCAGAACAGCACAAAATCAACAAAGTTCAAGTTCCTACCCTGGTGTCCATCAAGACATTATGTGAGTGAAGCTGTGAAACAGTGAGCACAGACTGAATTTGCATGTGAGTGTGAACACAAGCCTGTTTCCCTAGAGAGCGTTTATATGGGTCCCCAGAGAATCCGTGAGTAGAAAAATGTTTAGAGAGGAGATCGCTGGGCCATTCTGGGCCTCCACAGAGTGCAGAGAGTCCAGAGGTAAGCTGATGTGGCCCCTAACTAGGGCCCAACTTCTGTCTGCCCACCCTGGAAATCCCTGCCCAGGAATCTTCAACAGGACAATTCGACCCCTGAGGACCAAGTAACCCAGAATCTGCTGACATCTCTGCACCAGTGCCGCTCTCACCCACCTGCAGAGCGAGTGTCTCAGACCTGCCTGCACCCAACTTGAAACCCATCAGAGTATCAAAGTCAATTGCACACACCTGAAGAGAACACCAGACCCATACACATCAGGAAAGGAAGTGACACCAACTGTACCCACTGGAACAAGAGATGGTAAGACGACAATATAAGAACACATCCAACAAAAGGAAAACTAATATGACACCACCAGAGCCTAGGAACTCTACACCAGCAAGACATGAACATCCCAACACAGAAGAAGCAGAAGAGAGCAACTTTAAAAACAGCTTCATGCAGATGATAGAGAACCTAAGAGAGGAAATCAGAAAATCCTTCAGAGAAA